ACCACATGGGAAAAACCAAAAGGTTCACTTATGCTAGTTCTGGAGAATAATGGAAGGAATAATATCTTGATAAAAGAAAACAACATGATGAGCTCATCCGTGTGATATCAACACAGAACTTCCCTGGGGAACAGGCTGAATTACTGAAGCTGATCAGAAAAGTGCCATCACCAAAGGTGACCTATTGAAAATGTGCAACGCAGGATGCTCAAAAGATGGATTTCGCCTTTAAACTAAGCCTTACCCAGCAGACTAAAATAAAGGACAAAGACTCCTTTTAGCATTATCTGTGGTGAAATATAAGCATGATTCTTCTATTTAGTAGTAAGTATTAGCTTGTTTCTTGGCACAGTGCTGAACTCATTTATTTGACTTTTTGAAGGAAAAAGTCTAGAAATGTTACATTTCTTTATGTGCATTTATCGCTAATAGAAAAGATTAAATAGAAATTTGAAGTAAGATAGCTCAGGTTAAATGCACAGTTATGAAATGTTGCTTTGCAAATCCTTTTGAGTTAGTTGTTCTCTTTCATGCTGTTCACATTAAAGCTGCAATTCAAATGACACTTGATTGGACCTCCTACACTGTTTCAGTCTTCACACATTTATTTTTATACCTTTTAAAAGAATTTTAAAATCTACCTACTATTTAAAAAAACAGTTTATCATTTAAATATACCTTGTACTCTTTTGTTATTTACAGTAGCTATTATTTAGAGTAGTCATATGCTAATCACATTAATTATATTTGAAATGGTAGACTTCCATAAAATGACAAAACTAATAAAAATGCTCAAATAAGAGAATAGTGAAGGAGGCAGAATCTTTATATTAGTGCTAGCTATTGCTTAAGGAAGTTACAGAGACGTTCAGATAGATGTGTACCTCTGAATACCTTTCAAAGCAATTAGGCAAAACCCCAGGGTGGTGAAATGATGAATGCCCAGCGTTAGCTAAGCCAAAGTGCAGTCTTTTTGATTTCTGGGGTCCAGCTCCAAAACTAACTACTGAAAAAAGCCTCAGGAATAGTAAACTACAGCAAACAGAGGATAAGAAAGAAATTAGAAGGGCCCTAAATGGATCTGTGCGTTTGCTGTATCACCAGAGGTTAAAGGGAATAATCAAAGAAGATTTAGGCAGTACGAGGAAGGACAATGTTGTCTTCTCTACTTCAGTTCTAAACTGGAGAACATGATGGGAAGACAGCTACCCCTGACCTAATCTTTTCTACTAGTGAAAATACAGTATTCTCTCAGACTGAAGAGTAGCTACAAGATAAATCCGAGCAATCCTGTCGTTTTAAAAGTGTAAGAGTCATCATGTCCAGGTGGCATATGCAAGAACTCTGAAAGTACTTATAGATGAAGCGGTTAGGCTGTTAGCAAAAATACGCAGCTTTTGTGTGGGACCTGAAAGATCAAAATAGTGAATCTGTATTTAAATTATAACTCTACAGCGCTGTCTCCAGGCGTTGCCAAAGGGGGATTTACTCCAGACATTGGATTGAAAAGCATAGCTCAGTAGAGTCTCAGCAAAATGCCTCAGTATCTGCTAGCAGCCGGTATCAGGCCCTAACTAACACTCAGGATCTTGACAGTGTGGAAACTCTGAAAACATCTCAACTTTTAGGTCCAGATGTTCTCGTGTATACTGCCTAGATATGTTCTGACCCAGCTGCAGCGAGAGACTCCAGTGTCTGCTAACCCAGTCACTCCCTGGGCACGCTGGCATCCATGGGAAGAGAACTCAGGTACAACAACAGGAAGGGAGCCAGGACGTGCTGCAGCCAAGTTCCCGGTCTGGCTGCGGGAACACCTACAGCTCAATTTAGGCAAAGCTTGAATGGTCCAGTCACTAGAAGAATATAGAGCCACTCTGTTTAAATTGCATAAAACAGAGGCACAGGTAATGCAGAGACCCTGCACCTACTCGATTTGTCAACCACCACTTCAGTAAAAAAACCTTATTTATTATGGTGGGAAAGGATCTGATTGGCAAAGTTTCTGCAGAGAGACATCATCTCTTGCTGAGCTGGTATAAAATACTGTCTTAGAATCATAGAATCACAGAAGCATAGAATGTTAGGGGTTGGAAGGGACCTCTGTGGGTCATCTAGTCCATCCCCTCTGCTGAAGCAGGGTCACCTACAGCAGGCTGCACAGGACCTTGTCCAGGCAGGTCTTGAATATCTCCAGAGAGGGAGACTCCACAGACTCCCTGGGCAGCCTGTTCCAGTGCTCCATCACCCTCAGAGGGAAGAAGTTCTTCCTCATGTTCAGACGGAACTTCCTATGCTTCAGTTTGTGCCCATTGCCCCTTGTCCTGTCGCTGGGCACCACTGAAAAGAGTCTGGCCCCATCCTCCTGAC